AAGGAATAAACAAAATTGTTGTAGACTGACCGAGCTGAATGATTTCTGTTATAAGTTTTAAAAATAGGTTATTTGGTAGACTTCTTTTCTAGAATTCACAAAGCCTAAGGTTCAGCCTCAAAACCTTGCGAAACTGGGAATGATGGTACAGGACTGTAATCTCAGCATTCAGGAGGTAGAGAGGCAAGATGATCAGAAGTTCAAGGTCATTTTCAGCTAAAAACTATGTTTGAAACAAACTTGGGGTACATGAAATCTTATCCTCAGGAGAAAAAAAGATATTAAACAGAAAAAGTATTTAAGTTACTAAGTTGCATTTTGTTATTTGTATCAGCAAACTGTACACTTAAAATCATTGTAGATTACTTGTTGTATATATTACCACATTTTAAAGTCCATTCAGACATGAGAATGACTTTGGGCTAGGACAGGGAAGTAGGCCACTGATTATTGAGTAATAGAGTTAAAGTTATGTGCTACCATGCCAAGCCTTAGTATATTTTTTAAAGGATAAAAGTAGTATTTATAGATTTAAGAAGTTGAAATAAATTTTTTTAAAGGTTTATTTATTTTTATTGCTATGAGTACACTGCAGCTGTCTTCAGACACACACTAGCAGAGGGCATCAGATCACATTATAGATGGTTGTGAGTCACCATATGGTTGCTGGGAATTGAACTGAGGTCCTCAGGAAGAGTTGTCAGTGCTCTTAACCCCTGAGCCATCTCTCCAGCCCAAAATTTTAAACTTTTTAATAAAACCTAATAGATGATTTCTTATAATTTCTTTTGGAAATATATACATATACAGGTTAATTGGCTTTCAAGTTTGCAGAAAAATTAGAATTTCAAACAACCTGTGACATCTGTAGTTCAGAATGGTATACAGTAAGCAGTGTTTGAAATTCAGCTTGTAGGTGGTTATTCTGGAGAGCATAACTAGTGTAACTGCTTAATGTAAGAGCCAGTTTAACAGAGATTTGAAAGTGGATATTCCCTGTCTAGGGAGAGTAAGGTGGGCAGTGCTAAGGAGGATGCCCAGTGACCATCTGTGTGCTGCCCAGATCACAGAGGCACAGTCTAATGCATGTGTCATATATACCATGCATACATAATGCTGGCCACAAATATAATCTGACAAGTTAGTATTTTGTGGCATAAGATTGTTATTTTATAGAGCTCTGGGTGTGCTTCTTTCATTTAGGTTAAATTGATTTTAGTTAGGATGACTTTTCTACAGATTAGGACATGGAGATCATGCATTATTAGTGTTTCAGGACCTGTGTGACCTTTTATGTCGGTCAGTTTTTCATGAAATTAGGAGACCTAACATTTATGTTTATAATTATTCTATCTTCTTGATGAATTATTCTTATTTAATATGTAGTGGCTTTCTCTTTATCTCTTTGACATTTTTACCATGAAGTATACTTCATTCAGCTATCAGAATAGCTATATGCCAGTCTGGCTTTGGTTTCTGTTTTCTATTTGGTTTTTACCCTTTGACTCAGTCTTTTGTTTCCTTTAACAGTAAGATGTATTTCTTGGAAACAACAGATAGCTAGATTTAGTTTTTCTATCCTGTCTTCCAAACTTTGTCTCTTGATTGGTGAGTTTAGATTATTTATATTTTAAATTAATATTAAGAGATGTTTATTCATTATGATAATTTCGTCAGTTGTTTTTCTGGCTAGTTGGCCTGTGGTTCTTTGACCTTTTCTCTCCCCTGTTGTTAGTATTAGGATGTGTTGGTCTACTGCACTGAATATGATGATGAATTCTTTTCTAGGTTTCTTTTCTTCATTCTTTTCTGTTTTGAAATTTGCTCTTTTCCATGCTCTTATGATTGAGACAGTCTTACTTTCCCTGTTCCATATTCATGTGAAAACTTCAAGTAGTGCTGGCTTAGTGGCCATGAACTGCTTTCATTTGGTTTTGTCTTTAAATGTCTCTTTGTCAATTTTCACAACTATCTTTGCTGATATTCCATGTTCTTAACTTTGAAGTATACTAATAAGAGATCTGATATTATTCTAAAGTCTAACATGTTTGCCTTTGTGAATTCGAGGTTTTGCCCATACAGCTTTTAATATTGTTTCCTTGACTTAGATTTTTTTGATATTGACTTTATTGTGTTCTGAAGAGATCCCCATGTCTGTCTGGAGTTTTAAACATTTCCTGTGTTTGGATATCTGTCTCTGTAGGTTTATGAATACATTTTTAATTCCTTTAGTGTTTATTTCAGACCTTGTTGTGAATTGATAGATTTGCCCCCTTGCTTACTTCTCAAAATTCTTAGATATCAATTTGTTTACCTTTCCTTATTGACTTTAGTTGTAGTTCTCTGTTGACTCAAGCTGTTTAGATCTGATTTTTCTTACTCTGTCTTCTGTTTGGTCAAGTCTATTATTGATGGTGCTTTCTGCTTTCCTTCCTTCCTTCCTTCCTTCCTTCCTTCCTTCCTTCCTTCCTTCCTTCCTTCCTTCCTTCCTTCCTTTCTTTCTTTCCTTCTTTCTTTCTTTCTTTCTTTCTTTCTTTCTTTCTTTCTTTCTTTCTTTCTTTCTCTCCTTCCTTCCTCCTTCCTCCCTCCTTCCTCCTTCCTTCCCTCCCTCCTTCCCTTCCTTTCTTTCCTTTTTTGTTCCCATTAAACGTTTGATTTCCAGTTACCCTCCCCTATATCAGTTTCCTTGTTGAATGTTTTTAAAACCAGTATTGCTGATTATTCACCCTCCATTTTTCGGTTTTTATGTTTCTTTTACTTCCTATGTTGCTGACTTTACTTTCTATTTCAAGATTGGATTTGTCTGCTTGTTTTTATCCTCTTTTGTATCTTTATTTTTACTGATAATCTTACAAAAATTTAATTTCACATTTTTATATTTAAATATAGTTTGGTAGTTGATGTGTTTCTAATCATGTTGAGGAATCTTGATATCTTACGGTCTTTCACATTTCTTGTATCTCTGCTGTAATTTGCTTATCTCTTGGTATGGTTTTCTGTTACTTTTTCGGGAGGAAGGAGGCAACCCCCCACCCCAAAAGAGGTAGATACTGTAAATGATGCAAGCTTTTGAAACCAAAAGCCCAGCTCTAGTGACACACCTCTTCCAACAAGACCATACCTTCTAAGTCTTCCCAGCTGAGGACCAAGCATTCCAAGAAATGAACAGATGGGGGGACTATGCTGTTTGAAGCTACCACTCAGGAACAGGGTGGACAGAAACAGAGGAAAAGCAAGGTTAAATAAATCCACAGGGGATTGAAAAGAATATTATGAAGGAGTAGAAATGAGGAGAGATTAAAGTGGAAAAAGAAGGAAATTGTACCAAGTGGTGATGTTTTCATAAACAAGATTAGTTAAATGAAGGATAGGAAATGAAGAGAAAATTAAAAATGCATTTGTTAATTTAATGCATTAAAATAAAAATAGTATTAAGTTGGAAAGGGAAAGAATCATGAGAAAACAAAAGAAAAGATAAGGAAAAGGAAAAAAAAGTGGCCACCAATGAATACATAAAAATTAGAATAACATGTAAAAAGGAATAATAGCATGATATAAAATATACTAAAAACATTATTAAAAGTTTAGTGAAAAGGAAAAATAGAATACAAATATTAAAAGAAGAGGTGAAGTATTGGATGGAGCTTCTCTCTGTGTAGTGAGCCAGGTGTATATATTGGGAGGGTTTGTTGAACTTGCAAACTATTTCTTTTTCTCTTGTGCATGCTATTGCTGATACTAGACAAGTATCTAATGTCTGCTAGAACTATCTTCACTTTCCTAGCATCCCTTCTGGGCTGTGTACAGGCAGAATGCCTGCCTTTGTACTTTGTAGATAGGTGGCTCCAGAGGTCTTCCTGCCTGCTGACCTGCAGCTTGAGGCTCTCAGACTCTGTAAGGTTATTCTCTGTTAGGATATCTGGCCAGCACTTGCTCATTAGATTGGAGCTCTTGCTGCACAGGCCCTTTTACTTGTCAGTGTCTACATTCACTGCTATGTTCAACTCTGCCTTACCTACCCTGGGGTTAAAGCAGGCCACACTGTTAAGACTAGCTGGTCTATGTTTGCTTCCTGTGTGTTGTCTCCCAGGGGAACTCAGCTTTTTGGTTTTTATTTTGTTTTGCTCTTTCTTTTAACAATAGGTTTTCTTTCATGATTGTCCTTTGTCACTGCCCTTCTAGTCATACAGAGCAACACAATGGCACTTCTCTCTACCTCTGACCCGTCACCTGAAGAAATCACTGTCTTACCAAGCCCATAATTTGATTTTAGCTTGTGAGGGTTACAGGCTCTTAATAAGGGCAGGACAACCCATGTCTTACTTGGCTTATTACCATTTACAAATGGCTTCTTCTTCCTTTCCCTTGTGAGAGAGGCATGGGACTCTAAATTCATACCATAGACTATGCTTTGACATCTTCCTAGGTATTCCCTAACTGAATCTAATCACTTCCTGGCTGACTGATGCCAGTGACTGTAGACTAAGAATTACAAGCAGTTTATTGCTTGAGAAGACTGCACATTGATAAAAGATACTCTTTTAAGATGTTTGATACTATAATACAATGTCAAGTGAAAAACAAGGGGCATAGTAATAAATAAATGAAAGTATAGACATGGAAATGACACGTCTGTGCCCAAAATAAACAAAACATTTATGGAATGATTATGATTTGATCTAGGCTTTAAGGATTGGTATTGTTGTGACAGTTGGTGCTTAAAAATGGAAAGGGTTAAAATAAATAGGTGTTTCAGATAGTAGAAGCTGCAGAAGTTAAAGATACAGAAAGAGCAAGACTTGTTTGGGAACAATTGAAGAGTCTGGTTTAGCAGGTTGAACTGGTCAGGCTCCAAAGAAATACTGAGGTCAGGTTGTATGTGAATAACCTTGAACAGATATTTGTGGAAGGCCGTACGTTGCTGTGTATGTAGTTGTCAACTATTTATTAAATGGTTTAAGTACTTGTATATTTAAAGAGATACTTAATTTTATTTATAGAATGTCAGTTAATGAAAACAGAGCGACCAAAGCCAAATACATTTATTATCAGATGTCTTCAGTGGACCACTGTTATAGAGAGAACATTTCATGTAGATACACCAGAGGAAAGGTAAGATACTTATTTATTATTTTTATGTTAAAAAATAGTGTAAAGATGTATTTATATCTGGATTCATTATTTGTAATTAGATATAAGTATATTTGCAATGTTACACTTTATTGTTCTGTTTCTGTTGTCTTGCATGCTTAACTAGGGCTGGAAAATGATAAATCACCCTTGGTCTACTTTAAAATAAAGTTCTTCTGAGAAAATGGTATACAATTTTTTTAAGTTGAACACATTTTATATACAAACTATATTGTGCTTATGTTTGAAATTCAGAGTGAAATGTGGTAGTAAAAGGTTTCACGTATAACTGCCTGTATGCGTGTTAGTTTTAGATGGCCAAATGGGAAGGATTCTGAGATTTTTGTCTAAACTTTAGTATATTAGTAACTAATAGGATTGATTAGTGTAACTAATGTATACCCTGTGACTCATGAGCAACAACATTGATACTGATCAGCGCTGTGATAGCCACGGGGCTATATTTCCATTCTTTTGATTGACTGGTTTTGTACCTATTTTGCTACTTTCTATTTTTTTCTTAATATTATTTTACCTGATGGCTTGATAATGAGTTAGGTCTAGCAAACTCAATCACAAGGTTATTTTACTACAGATGTTATTATATTTTATCCTAATCAACAACTTTTAAAAGTAGAATATTAATAGCCTTCTAATTATTATTATTCTAATTATTATTAATAGAATAACTTACTCTAATATGCTTCTCTAAGACCTTAGTGAAACAAAATAATATTTTAAAATACTAATAAAATGATCAAAGACAAAAAAAATTTTTTTTTTAAATACTCTGTATTGGAGCAAGGGTTTTTACATGCTAGGTGCAGACCTAGCCCTAGCTTGTTTCCTAATTTTTTTAATAATACTTTTGATCAATAAATTGTGATGTATTTTAGGAATATAGAAAAGAAAAATACCAGTGTGACACTAATATGATTTTATTTTCTATATTTGCAATATTCTTTGTTTTGAAGTATATACAGGCTTGTGTGTTCACTCTTCTCATGCCTTACTCCCATTCATCTACCCTAGGCTTCGACACACTGAGTTCATCCACAACATAGACCTGTAGTCATAATAGCTCTTGTGTCTTTCGGGTCTTAGTGTCAAGCAGCAATCCCCCCCCCCCCGACCCTGTACTTAGCCTGATTTTGGTAGGCTAGGTGGGTCCTCTGGCTACATGTTTACATAGCTTTATTCCTTTTTCTTTGCATTTTATGTGTATGTGTATTTTGCCAGCATGTATATACAAGTACCGTGTTTTATACTATCCATAGAGACATGAAGAAGATTTCAGATCTCCTGGAACTGGAGTTACAGACAGAAGGATTTTAGCTTCCCTATGAGTACTAGGAATCAAACCTGGGTTCTCTGGAAAAGCAGCCAATGCTCTTAACTGCTGAGCAATCCCTCCAGCCCCTTCCCCAGTTTTAAAAACAAGTGTATCATTTCTATTACTTTTGTTTTCTTTTTGTAAACTTCTTGACATCAAGAATCATATCTTGTTTTGTTTTACTTTATTTTCTTTTAAAATCTTGAGCTCACAGTCCAGGATGTGATGACAGGGTGTTTACTAGGTGACTGATTAATGCAGGATTTCTGTGAAAAATGTTGTTATGAATGAATTTTTAACATTTACTGAAGCTTGATTGACTTTGCCCATTTTTGCTCCCAAAGTTGGATGTAAGTCCTATCTTTTTAGTTTTGGGTAGAAAGACTTAGACGGTTGTTTCTTGCTCTGCAATGCAGGTTGGCCTGAAACTTACTATGTCACTCTTGTGTCCGTCCTTCTGCCTTGACTTCCTGAGGGCTGAGAGGAGTATGAGATGTGAGGAAGACAACAGCTGTGTTAGCTCTTGAGGCTCTAAAGTCCTTTCGCTTTCCTCTAATATCTGTCTACTCATCTAAAGAATCAATTTTCTCTCATTTATTTTTACGAAAATGGAAATTAACCTATTGTTGGAGTATGCGTTTCTATATTCATGAGGCACTTGCTGTCTGGAGACTTCATAGAGCCTCAGTCTAGTGTCAGCAAGGACTTAGAAGTGTCTCAGCGTTCAAATCCTCTGTAATGTTCTGGCCTCAGTCTGATTTTTTTTTGTGTTGTAAACTAGATGGATTCTTCCTATGTGTGGTACTTTATTTAAATGGATAATTTAATATTGGGACTTCTTTTAAAAGTGAGTCTAATGTCTCAGACCTTACTGAATCATTTTTTCTTCACAATCATTAAATTATGAATATGTGGGTGTGCACATGTGTGTGCTTGTGCATGTGTGTGCACATGTGTGTGAGCATGTGTAGCATGTATGTCTCTCTCTCTGTGTGTATGTAGGCTTTTAGATTTTCATTTTCTTTCTGCCCTTATATTTTCTGTTGTCCTTAATAGTAATATTGGTTTTAGTTAGAAAAACTTGAATTAAATTTTTAACTTGAAGCAGTTTTCCATTTTTTTAATAAAAATGTTTTTAGATATTTTGCTGCATTTCTGATTTTTTTTTGGTTTGGATTTTTTTTTTTTTTTTTTTTTTTTTTGGTTTTTCGAGACAGGGTTTCTCTGTGTATCCCTGGCTGTCCTGGAACTCACTCTGTAGACCAGGCTGGCCTCGAACTCAGAAATCTGCCTGCCTCTGCCTCTCAAGTGCTGGGATTAAAGGCGTGCACCACCACTGCTCAGCGCATTTCTGATTTTAAAATTAAGTTTATGTTAACTTACAGTTCAAAACATAAAATACACATATTAGTGGATACCATGTCATGTTTTAATATATGTATAAATTATTTCTATCTCCTCAAACATTTATTTAAGGTAATTATTAGAAATGCATAGCACATTACTATCTATGTTCTCCCGACTATACAGTAACCCAACATAATGTTTTGCTCCAATCCAACTACACTCATCTTCACTAATCAGTCTTTTATGATCATTTCTTCCCCTTACAGTCTCCGTAGCCGTTGGTCATCACTGTTCTCTTCAAACCTAGAAGATATACACTTCTAGATTCCTCATATGCATGAGATAATATGGTCCTTTCTGTGCCTCGCTTTCTTAGCATAGTGATCTCTAGTTTCTTCCATAATGTCCCAAATGACTGAGTTCTCTTTATTTAAGAGTGAAGAATATTCTACTGTTTGTATATAAGTTCTTTATTCATTTATCAGTTGATAGATACTTATGTTACTTCCACCTCCAAACTATGTGAATAGTACTACAGTGGACATGGTCAAGCAATTTCCTTTTTGAATGGCTAATTTAATCCATTGGGTAAATGCTAAGAAATGGGATGGCTGGATCATAGGGTAGTTTTAAAAGTTTTGAAAGATATGCCATACTCCTTTACATAGCACCTGCTACTAGTAGCGCCACTAACACCTGCCATCATCTATTTTCTAATGTTTTTAGTAGCAAGGATTGAGTCGTTGCCTTACTGTGGTCCATGACTTGCATTTGCCTGAGTATGGAAATGCTGAGAACAATCTTTTGTTCATTTTTAATTGGATTACTTACTTGTTTGTTTCTTTGTTTCTTTTTTGGTTATTGAGTTATAGTAGTTCCTTATCAAAAATTAGGAACTAGCCTCCTTTATCTCCTTGAGGGGGGGATGATGCATGGTGATACACAGTTTCATTTTGTTAGGGTGTAGTTATATCTAGCCTGGAATTGCCTGTGTAGATCAGTTTAGCTTCAAACTTAGAAAATTTCTTTAAAATAAAAAAAGTCATATATTTGCAAATATATTTCATATATATGTGAGATACATATTTTTCAGACTCTTTGGCCTGTTTCTTAAGTCTCATTTTTATTCTTCTGTTTTCTTTGTTTCATAGTAGTTTTTTTTAATTGCCATTCATTTTGTGGCCTGTATTTTTGGTGTTGTAGTCAAAGATCACTGCTAAGACAGGTGTCATGAAGTTTTCACCTGTATTTTCTTCTAGCTTTCTAGCTTTAGGTGTTTATTTTGAAGTGTGTATGTGCGGTTTAAAATACAATTTACATTTAATTCTTTTTCATATTGACACCCATTTTTTGCCAAAACCATTTGTTGAAGAAAGTCTCCTTTGGCTTTATGTAGTTGTGGCTTTATATAGTTGTGGCCTATGAAAGATGACCATGTATGCATAGTTCTATTATTTCCTCTCTCTATACTTCTCTCATTCTGTGTCTTTACTCAGATTCCATATAATTTCAGTTATTGTAACTTTAGAATGTGTATATATTTGTGTGTTTTTGAGCATTTCATAAATGTATATGACGTATTTTGTCTATAACTGTCCCATTCCCCATACCACTTCGAATCCCCCTGGATCATACTTCATTGTGAACCCTTCCTAACTTCATGTTTTCTGCATTTAAAAGTAATGTAATTCATTGAATCCAATTGGTACAATTAAAATGTGCATGGCCATATAGGGATATCTACGGTAGCAAGAGCACCCTATCAATGTCCAGAGATGGCTCAGCAGTTAAGAGCATTGACTGCTTTTCCAGAGGTCCTGAGTTCAATTCCTAGCAACCATATGGTGGCTCACAACCATCTGTAATGGGATCTGATGCCCTCTTGTGGTGTGTCTGAAGACAGCTATAGTGTACTCATCACATATATAAAATAAATAAATAAAATATTTGAAAAAAACAAGTAAAACTTTTATAATTCCAATTGCTAGTAATGGTTTTAATCATGTTAGCCATCTCATTAGTGAAAATTAGTACTCCAAGACCAGTGAGATGAGATTGTCTAGCATGAAGTATGCAGAGACAGCAGAGATAATAAAAACTGATATGATAGAATGTAGGGCAAATATTAGACAATGAGGCGGTCTTATAGATATGCCATTTAACTCTCAAGGGATTTGAGAGAATGAGGGGAAAATTTAAAGTAATGGTTCCTGAAATTTTTCTAAAATGTCTAAAGATACAGAACCCAATATCAGAAGTTCTTTAACTTGCAGGTGGGTAAAGTACAGAAATCAATTTCTAT